ACCATTGCGAACAAATATTTATTTTGAATATGACAGTATTTTACAATATTTTCACTTTTAAGTCAAGAGCATAATCAGCTTGATCTAACAAATTGTAGTATATATGGTGATTTAGCTTATAAATTAGTACGTTTAATTCTAAAATTCTCTTAAAATGATGTACAAATTTTTAGATAATCAAAAATAGTAGGATATTGAAGAAACAGGCACTATGGTCACACAGTCGCGGCGAATTCAGAATGATAAACGATGTATGTATTTCTGTTGTGTGGGTGTGGATTTATTTCACGGAATAAAAATTAATAAAGCTATGTAATTTTTCAAAATGTGCTCTAATAACTGTGTCAATGTTATTGAGTTAGATTATGTTGTGTTAAAGGTAGGTTTAAATTGCAAAAAAAAAAAACCGTAACCAGACAACTGCACACAAAAGTATCAACGATTTCGCCCATATATGTATGTACATATGTATGTACATTCCTGCATGAGTGCAGCATTGTGCAGGCTTCTTCAGTGTCACATTTTTTTTCAATTTATAATGCTTTCGTGCTCGAACATGAATATAAATATATAACTCATTACAGTTGAATGGCAACGACATTACTTCATTGTCTAGTTATGACGCGGTTCAAATGTTCCTTCAAGCTAAAGAAACCCTAGTAGTTGAGTTATGCCGAAAACGAAATCCCGTCAACACCGAAGACCTGCTGGACGATGATATTTGTTCAAGAATCAAAAATGTTCAAGGATCTAATGCAAAAGCAACCAGTGCCTCAGAAAATATTAATTTCAATTCATTGCCGACGTCACCTCTATCATCAGTGTCAGCTGGAAATCAAATTATTTTAACTTTACGAACATTTCAAAACAGTGATCAAGCCGAACCAGTATCGAAGGAGAAAAAAACGAATGACAAGTTTGATGCATTCAACTCAACTAACAAAAAAGTCAATAATAAGGAAAATGTTGCACAAGCAATAGCCGATCATTTTATTGAGCAAGAGCATCATTTTTTTGAGCAGTGTTTGGAGCCTGAGATCGACATCGAGGTAAGTTTTAGTGCATATAGAAACATTTTGTATAGAACACGTACTTTGCAGGAAGTAACCCTCGTGAAAAATGATTCAACTAACGATCAAATTGGACTCACTGTTTCCTGTAATAACTACTACAGTACGAAGGAGTGTGAAGAGAATATTATTAATCCTGTGATATGCAACAAGAATGCAAACTTAACAAGACGAAACGCGGATGCTAATGCTGATGCTGATGCAGATGCAGATGCCGATGCTGATGCTGACGCTGATGCCTGTGATGATGTTTTCATAAGTGATATACAGCCAGAGAGCGTGGCCGAGCGCGACGGTCGACTCCGTCGTGGCGATCAAATTCTCCGCATTAATGGCATAGACATCAAGAGTAAAAAGCATGCCGAAACGCAAATAGCTGAAAATACTTCGTCTGTTACATTGCTTGTCAGTCGACTTCTATATCCCGTAAGTACTTATAATGCCATATAAAACACCATCTGATATATACTTTTCATTTATAATGGAGGATGACGACGATGACGACGATGAGGACGATGAAGAGATCGATAGTAACTTTGATTATGCCAACAGCATTCTATCTGATGATTACACAAATGTCGTGGACAAATTGGACAAACTGCTTTTAACGCAGCAGCGGCAAACAAGCGCTAACAATTTAATAACAGAATCTGCGGCGAAACCTATTAAATCAGCAACTTTCAGTGGATCTCAAATGATGTCTGAAATATCGAAAAACAGAGGACATACACAAACTTGTGCCATAGAAAAGTTGTACATTGACAATGTGCAAGGCATAAAACCAATCATAGACAAAAGCCTGCGAACAATAACTAGTAAAGAATATGGTTATGATGATTGCGAGCATATTTACGAAACAATTCCCGAGGATTCTGAAATAGAACCCCTCTATTGCTCACCATATCAGAGCTCTAACTATATGACTGCAATGGGATCTTGCTCATCACCAATGATGGCAGAATCGGATGTTTTAGAAATGCAACAGCAAACGCAACGTGTAGCCCAATGGTTAGGGATTAAATCACAGCTGAATACAAGATCCGTTCATACGATGGCTGGACGTCCAAGCTTAAACCGTAAACAACAAAATCGAATCTCGAATAGAATTTATACGTTACGCAGCGCTATAACAAACACAAGTGAATCAAGTAGCAGTGGAGCTAACTGTTGTGCAACTAATGGTGACATCGAGAATAAATGTATAAACCAACAGCAGGAAGAGGTAGAAAATTCTTCAAGTGCCTATAATACGGGTGGCTCCAATAACAGTGCTTCGCCTCAACAAAATGCCATAAATTTAGAGATCGAATCAATTTCAGTGGCAACGGGAACTGCAAATGCAAATTCTAAAAATCCTATAAGCTTTCAACCCGTTTTGCTACCATTTATAAGGTCTAGCCGTATAGTTTGTTCCCAACATAGTTCCGGTTCGTAGTGGATTTAATTGAGATTAACATATTTAATTACTAAGAACTACAATTTATTTTGTATTTTTTAGAAACTGTTGTACTAAATAATACATCTGCCGACGAGCTACATCCTTTTGCATCAGCAACTGCTAAAATGGACGGTAAAACAATGCGACCTAAATCAAACGACGAACAGCAAAGTCCATGCCCGCAATTTAACGCTCCCAATTTAAGTCGCTATCATTTTGTTAGCAGTCAAGAGGTAAACACAATTGGCATCAAATAAATAATGTAATACCTATAAGGATGATCATAATGATCGTTCGCAGAAATAACAGAAGTAACAGAAATTCAATAATCGAATTTTTAAATTTATATCTGTGAGATAGATAATAGTATATTTTTGAATGTATTAAGTACCAAAAGTATTGATTTGATCTATTGATCTATTTTTAGTGTATATATACAGCTTTTATTAGGTATAAGAAAAAATGAAGTATTTTGGATATATTTAATCATGTTGTATTTTCTCTAACTAGGTCGCAAATAAGACTGTTACCACAACAAAGACAAGCTCTATTTTAGGAGAAAATGTCTCAGAGGAAATTCCAATGGTGTGGAAAGTAAAGCGGCGTCCAGATGGAACCAGATACATAGTTAAGCGACCAGTACGGAACACTGTGAGCATGGGTATACGTAAAAATATACGTAACAACGAAATAACAACAACTGAGGATGATACAATATCAGAGGTTAAGATCGGTCGTTATTGGACTAAGGAAGAAAAGAAACGACATATAGAACGTGCACGCGAACGTCGACATCATCAGCAACTGCTCCATCAACAGCAGCATCAACAATTTCCTACACAATAAAGTATAAAGTGGTTAACTTTAAAGATTTTCCAACCTCATGTTAGTTGTATTATTGTAACGAATTCCTTTTAAGATGAATATCCCCTTAATAGTGCTACCGTATGTATGTAAATAAAAAAATATAAAATTACCTTGTTATTAAGCAAGTTTATATTCGATCATGTTATTTTCAGAGCATATAGAGTGGCATGTCATTTTATGAATAATTGAGTGTTTTACAGTTTGAGTCGAAAATTAATTTCAGAAAATCGTAAAATGCTTCAAATATATCGCCAAGTTTATTATATGAGTGGGTAATCTGATGCTTACAAGTGTAAAGTAATATAGTTAAACTGAGTAAAATTAAAAATGGTGTTAGCAGCTCCAGAAAATATTAGGTTTATGTTTCATGTGTAGTAAAATTATAGGTGCTTATAGCGTCTGTACGGTTTTAACGACAACAATTCTGGTCGCCAGACAAACTTTTACGGTTATAGCGTGTTCCCGGTAGAGTAGTCGTAGTTAAATCCAGATTCTATTGTACATGTAATTAGTATGCCTTTCTAATTAAGCCGTTATAAACGTGTAAAGCTTATATTTTATACTGCGTGCATATGTGTTTCACACGAGTTAGTGCGCGCTCTGTCAACTGAGCAGGTCTACGCTGCAACATGTTGGACCATGTTGTAGATGTGTACATACACATAGGAGAGAACAGTCTGTTGTGTGCTCTGTAAATTTTTCAGTACTCTAACAGTACTTGTATCTTTGACATTCTGTACATGTTCAAATTATATGTTAATTTGTGAAGCCGGCAAAATATTACTTTGCAGCCGGTCAAAAAATAAAAATAAATTATTTATTTAAAAAATAAGACGCGCACCTGAAAATCCCAGTATGGTTTGTTGCTTACTAAACAATAAAATGTACTCATCTATGAATAGTGCTGCTAATATTTTTGTGCATTTTATAGCCCATTCGAGGCGTGGCTATGATCCTATTGTGTGGTGATATGCAGATACGATGCATGTGCATGTGTGTAAGAGTCAGTATTGAAATATGTGCGCGTTATCATACACTTCCCAAACCTTTAGATAGAAAAATTCTTTTCACTGCATTCGATATTTTTCGATTGCGAATCGAAATTAAAACAAATCTTTCTGAGAAAATATTACCTAAGTGTAATTTTGTAAATTATGTACACATACATTTTAGTAAGGATGCGAGCGTCATGATTGAGAGTGTTTATAGGGTGAGCGACACAGAGACCTAATGTTAGGGGTTGTTCCATCCAAAAGAGAACGTAAGCTTGTACGGCTCGAACATATTCGTAACTACATATACATATGTATGTATGTACATATGTGCATGTATATACATATGTATACTAATAAGAATATCTATATGTGCGCGGCTTAAACAGTAAAACGGCTGAACTCCTAATGTCGAATAGTTCAATAATTTTTGGTTGTTTTTCCCTAGGATATACATGTAACAACTTGGATACATACATATATGTATTTTATATATTATATATATATATATATATATATATA